ATACTCCATTAAGTCCGAAATAAAATTATTTGCTCCTTCAAGTCCCATTAAAGGAAAAAACGATTGTAATGGGTAGAATCTCAAGGTCTGAGTGGATTCGAAGCAAGTGGCAAACTACAGCCTTGCTAAAGCAGATGGCTATCTTTAATAAAGAACAAATGAAAAAGGCCTATGAAATCATAACTCCAGGTGAATATGATCAGTGAAATCTACACGTCCATATGGTCGAAAAGGTAACAACAGAACAATCATGTACTACCATTGATTTCGAAGAAAACAGAGCACGCATCCATTTTTATTAGATTCAAAGCAACCCAACAACAATACCAATCACCAAAACTTTTGATAAAAGAAAAATCACCAAAACTTGGTACAAAGCCCACGGATCTGCCTTGCCGCCGCCGATAAATCCCCCGCCGGTGTTTCCAAATACCGTCATTTTCTCTCTCTCTCTCTCTCTGTCTCTCTCTCTATGGAACTGTGATGGAGTGACATGGAATGGAAGGCATCAGGACTAAGCAGGAGAGAAAGAACCAGTTTTATTTCGTACAATGGTGACCAAATCATGGAGACAGGAAGCTCTGACGTAGAAGAAACTTTTCATAGCGTTTGGCTTTTGAGAGACAGAACAACAAGGTGCTCTGTTTATAGGTGTGATCTAGGATTTTTTGAAATTGAGAACCTTCTCAGTTTATAATATTCTCAATTTTAATCATGAAAAAATTTGAGAAATTTTTCAAAATTGATAATTATAAATTTCCTAATTTTGATAATATTTTCAGTTCATACTAGAAAAAAATTAAGAAATATCTTAGTTTTGATAATTATAAATTGAAAACATTCTCAATTTTGAAATTGAGAACATTCTCAGTTTTGGAATTAAAGGGTAAAATGTCTTTTTACCTCTAAATGAGACTTATTGGTTCAAAAATTTTTTGATAGGACCTAAGCTACCACTAAATATATAGATAGGATTTTTAGGTAATTAATCCAAAAATAATTTAGACTAATGAAATATAAGTAGGTGGAGAAGGATGTGTGAATAGGTACCCATTAATAAATTTTATTAATTTTTTAACTGCAAATGTGGTGTTTAACGATAACATCTGAAATTTAAAGCCTGACTCACTAGAAAAATGTGTTTGGCATGTTGTGTTGTTTTTTTTTTTTTTTTTTTTGTTTTTTTTGTCTATTTTAGTCAATAAAAAACAAAATAAGTTAAAAAGTCAATAAGATAAAATATTATATTCAAACTATAATAAATTTATTTTTTCTCTCATAAAAGTCAAAAAAATCTAACCCAAATAAGGTTTTTAGCCCCATGCTGACTTATTTTGGGAAGTAGATTAAAAATTAAATTTTTAGTTTTTTTGATTTTTTTTTTTAAAAATATATTAAAAAAATAGGGAGATACTATGACCAAAAAAAAAAAATTTAAAAATCAACTTTTAACACAGGTCAAAATAGGCCAAAAAGCAAAAAAGACAAAAATCAATCCACTTTCCAAAGAAGCCGGGATTTCTTTTTCCTTTTTTTTTAAGATACAAAAAAATGCCCAATAAACTATTTATCAAATAATTAAATTGCAAATACCTCCCTCAATAATCAAATTTGAAGTTTCTCTTATCAGAGTTTCTTTCAACGGTGATTAATTATCATAAAATTACATTATTATTATTCTTCAATGTCTTCACACAAACCCTATACTATAAACTCTTTCTAGTGGTGTTTGGGAAGCAAGTTCCCAAATTTTTTTCTCATTTTTTCCACTAAAAGACGAAAGTTTTACAAAACCAAAAAAAAACACATCCAAACAAAATATCACATCCAACCCCATAATCATTTCACTTTTTCTCTCACAAACATCACATCCAACCACATAAAAACCCAACTATCTTCCCAAACACTAAAAATTTTTTATCTCATAAAAACCTACATCTAATAAAATCTACATAAAAACTCACTTCCCAAACACCCTCCCTTCACCATAGTGATTAGGGACAATTTGGGAGGAAGCTAAAAAGGCTAACTTTTTAGTTTTTTCACACAAAAAAAAAGTCACAAAAAATCCACTTTTTTAACATAAAAAAAGTCAAAAAATCAGTTTTTTATTTATGATGTCGTTAGACTCTAACACTGTCGTGTGTGCACTCATAAATACATTTATTGTATTGAGGTTTCTTTGGAACATTAGGCACAAAAGAATTTAATTTAATAATGATACCATCTACGTGATTTTAGGGCATAAATTTAAATAAATCATATGATTCTAAAGCATAAATTTAGTTTCGATGACATAAATTTTGAGAGTAAATTATAATATGATTCTAAATAAATCATTTAATTCTAGGGCACACTAAAATAATATTGTTAGTAATGAGATTCATGTTAATGAAATTTTCATTTATACTATTTGATTTCATCCATCCAAACATACTTATGACAGGAAATTCTAAGCAAATTAGATAATTACTCTTACTATATCAGAAACTATATAATTTTGTTGGAACATCATGTACAACTGTGTAAGGGAGAAATTATATAGTTAAATTATTCACTAACGCTGTGTTTGGTTGGGGGATTTGGGAAGGAATTTGAAAAGGGAAAGAGAAAAGGTATGTGAAACTATGTGAAATGTAGGCATGTTTTTTTACATTTCACCTACCTTTTTCATTTCTCTTTCTAAATCATTCCTCAAATCCCTCAACCAAACACAACATAAGGAAGATTCTTGGAACATCATGTAATCGCATAGTTACATGATGTAATTATTAACACAGTAGTTCTGGTAAACAATTATAGGATTTGGTTAACGAGTATTTGGTTAACAATACAGTATTTAAATTGATTATACATTGTATGTTGTACGGACGTTCATACATTATGTATAAATATTTCAAGTTTCTTATCAAGTGACACTTATTAATAAAATCCATAATTATATAGTTACACGAGAGAAATTAACTATGTAAAGGGGAAATTATTCAGTAGGTCATCATAGTGATGTGGTGTGTTAAACTAATAAAAAAAATTTAAAAAAATGATAATTATTGACATAATTTTTAAAATTTTCCAATATATTATGATTTTTTTCCCCCCGTTACATGTGTTATTTCCATTGATTGGGCACATTACCTTCCATCCATTCTCCTTACAAGGAGTCTTCCTAGGTGGTTTTGCCGATAGAAAATAATAACAATCACTGTATTTGATTTAAGTTTTTTGGATTAAATTTTTTGAAAATTAAATTTTTTAATTTTTGTGTTTTTTTATTTTTAGTGAATATTTTTAAAATTTCAAATATTTTTTTTACTTTTTTAGATGCACCTTACTTAGATGTGTCTAAAAAGTTAAAAAATTGTGAAAAAATATTTTAAAAATTTAAGAAATGCATAAAAATACAAAAAAAATGTACTAAATTCTTGTATTTTTTTGTATTTTTGGTATTTAGTGAATTTTTAAAAGATTTTTTTTTACAATTTTTTTACTTTTTAGGTGTATTTATGTTAGGTTTGTCTAAAAAGTAAAAAATTTGCATAAAATATTTAAAAAATTCAGTAAAAACAAAAAAACACGAAAAATAAGAATGTAAAATTTTCTAAAAATTATTTTTAAAAAATAGGAACCAAGCAAAGTGAGATATTTTGTAATTTTATCATATTATTATTATTATTTTGTGTGCCATGTAAATACATAACCCTTGCTGTTAGGCGAGCATCATGCCACAACTTCGCTTCACGACCTGTTTGTTTGGAAAGTTAGAGGAGAGATTGAGATTGGTAGTGAGGTGGGATTTATTAATATTGTATTTATTTTTAGAAATACTGAGGGGATTGATAGTGAACTCCGGATTAGGATGAGCCTCCTTAAGGGGATTCAGATGGGCCTCCAGGACTTGGTATTATAAAAATAGTCTAGCAGACTAGAAATTTTTTTTTTTTATTTTATTTTTTACATGTCGGGCATTTTTTTTTAACATTAATGTTTAATTTTTTGTTAAGTAAAAATCATTATTTTATTTGTTTTATTTTTTTCTGAAATTTTTTTATTTTTTTAAATTTTTTTACATGTTGGGCATTTTTTTTAAAATATTAATGTTTAATGTTTTTGTATTTTTTTTATTTTTTTTATTATTTTATATTTATTTTATATAAAAATAATTTAACAAATCTCTATATTAACAACTGTCATTAAAATAAACACAATTTTACTTAATCCTCTCACTATCAATCCCTTCACTAACAATTCCTTAACTATTAATCATCTCACTAACAATCCCTTCACTATTAATCTCCTCACTATCAATCCCCTCCATTCTACATCTAAAAATAAAAAAATTATGTATGTATAAAATTTATTATATTTAATAAAAAAAATAAAAATAATCTTAAAATTATTGTTAATGTTGAAAAAATATTAAAATTATAAATTTTTGAATATTTTATTTATTTATTTATTTATTATTTTTTTGAACAAGAGAAAAAGGGCTCTGTGGTGTCATCACTGCCCCGTGGGCCCTGACTCTGGAGTAATCGATTGCTAGTTAGGAATTAACCTCCACCAAGTGAGGGACCCACCACCAAGGCACCAATGTGGTGTCATCACGGTCCCGTGGGCCCTGACTCCGGAGTAACCGATTGCTAGTCAGGAATTAACCTTCACCAAGTGAAGAACCCACCACCAGGACACTAATGAAGCGCAATCACACGCCCCAAAGGACAGGTTATTGAGGAGAGTACGAGACATATTCTCCGAAGAGATTTCAAACAACCCCTTCCAAAAATCGACCCTAACTCAATGCTACCCTCATGGTAAATTTTTGAATATTTTATACTCAAGAGAAATACTCTAAAAAAAATCCGACGAACATGTTAAAAAAAGTAAAATTATAAGCGTAACCTAAATCTAATATTTTCATAAGTTTTAGTCCCCACCAGAGGGTGAAAGAGAGCTCTAACTTTAATGGTGGTGGCTCTGTGTTCTTCTTAAAGAGTGGAGTGCTTCTTCCTATTTTACCATTTCACTTATTCTACAAGCTGTTCCTCTCTCTCTCTCTCTCTCTCTCTCTCTCTCTCTCTCTCACTTTTCCTCAAACACTAGAAAATTAAGAAAAGCAGAAGAGTCTCTCTCTCTCTCTCTCTCTCTCTCTCTCTCCTATCTTTCTTTCACTCTCACGTCAATCTTTTGCTTTTGTCTGTCTTTGTCTTTGATTAAGATCCCCTTTAATCATAGATCTCTCTCTCTCTTTCTCTCTCACTCTCCATCTTCCCCGCAAAATCTATACACTGTCAGCTTCTGGTCAAGGGTTTGTGGTGATATACTTGCATACACACACACTTACACTTAGACACAAGGAAATGCGAAGGAGAGCATAAGAAATTCCAAAGCATATTTGGCTGAAATTGTTTTATTAGTGTGGATGGAACAGCAGTGACGGAAGAAGCAGAAAAAGGAGAAAGGGGCTAGTAGGAATGGGGTCGGAGCAGAATAGGTTTCCGCCACAGCAGGAACCAGCGGCCCGGGTATTTTCCCTTTCAGATCTAATCAATCTTCTTCATCCATCCATCTTTAATTTGATTGTATATGCTTTCATTACTCTCAATCGTTTCTTCTAGCTTTTCCGTAATTATTATTATTATTATTATTATTTCTTCTTTCTTTCTCCATCCTAGTGGTGTGATGTCCTTGTATCTCATTGGCTATGCATCTATTTCGATTTCAATGTTTGACTCGGATCTGTTGGTGTGAGTGAGGAAGGGATCCTTGTTGTTTGTAAAGAATTCCCTTCCCCGCTAATATGCATTTTATAGGTTGGATTTGGTCTCTTTTGTGCTTCTACTGATCCTCTTTTAACGGATCTGATCTAAATGGCGGAGATGGAGATGGAGATGGACTGGAGGATGCTTCTCAAGACTATAATCCACACAGCATTTTCCATCCACTAAGCTACTAATTAAATACACACTCTAGAGGAGAGGAGAGGAGAGGAGAGGAGAGGAGAGGATTGTTTTTCTTCCACGTTTTCTTACCTGCCTCCTTGCTGTGGGCCATTTGCAGTTTGTGTATTAATAATCTACCACCAGACCTCGCTTTTTAATTTAGTTTAGACTAGCATGACATGAGCTACTTGCCTTCTTCATGTGAGCCCCGTAGATCTCATGTGTTGATGTTCAGGAGACATGCTGCTTATACAAAGTAAGGAGATGGGCTCAGTTTATAAGATGCAGGGATGGTGCCCTGCTATAACAGGTGTTGTATCTTGTCTTGTCTGGCAGCTATTGGGTGGTGTAAGGGGAGCACACATGGTATAAGTCAGGGACTTCCAGTACATGTGGACTTGGGCACCCTTGCTGTAAGAGGGACTGAAGATATGTAAGTTTTTCCCCCAAATAGCTCTTAGTTGTTCCCTTTTGGTAGAGTTGGTATGAGATGGGGCAGAACCTAAGGAGGTTGCTGATTTGTTTCTTGTGAGCAAAACAGAACAACGGTCACATCGGGCAAAGAGAAAAATGAAGGGATTGAGAGTACTTCTTTGGGTGTCTCATGTGATGGACCGATGGTTTTGAGGAGGAGATTGGTTAACTGATGGAGGCAACACAACAGTGGTGGAGGACCCAAATCCATAAGATAGGAAGAAAAGAAGGGGGGGGGGGGGTTGTGAGAAACTCTATTTAGTGGGTGGGACACATCTTCATCAAGTAAGGCATGGGTGTTGAAGAAGTTAGTTTGCTCAATCAAATTATTAAAGTAGAAAACGGGTTGGGTATGTGGTTAGTTATAGTTTCGTCATGAAGCTTAAAATTGTGTCTTGGAATTTGAGGGTTTCAAACGATCCTTATAAGAGGCAATAGTGAAGTCCATGATTTGTTTTTAGAAAGCACATATGGTATGCCTACAAGAAAATAAAATCAAGTAGATGATTGTTGAGATTGTGCGCAACTTATAGAACAATAGTTTCATGGATTAAGAGTGTTCGACAATAATTGGAACTGCAGAGGCATTCTTCTTTTGGGGATAGGAGAGTGTTGACAAGGGTGGATTCTCTATGTTGTGTTTATTAATGAATGTGGGGGATGGGTTTTGTTGGGCTTTCTCACATGTACAGGCCAATGACTAAGGCTAGAAGAAACGGGGTGCGGGAAGAATTAAGGGAGGTCAAGGAATGGTGGGTTTAGTTGTGGTGTATTGGAGGAAATCTTGACACCATTGAAAGATTGTAATGGGAATAAGGTGTCAAGTCCAGATGAGATGACTTAGGCATTCCTAGGCATTGTGTTGGTTCTAGGGGGATATGGAATTGAAGGATTTTAGGCCCACTAGTCTTGTGGGGGTGTATCTATAAGCTAGTGGCAAAAGTTTTGGTACACTGGTTGAGGTTGGTTGTGTGAAAAGTTGTATGAAAGCTACAAAATAATTTTCGTGGGAGGCATATATTGGATGTGTTGTTGGTGTCTAAAGAAGTTGTTGATTCCAAATTACATAGTGGAGTGTCGAGGACCATTTGTAAGCTCGATTTCGAAAATGCTCATGTTAATTGGGAATATTCTTTTTGTATGTTTTGTAGAGATTGGGTTTTGTAAAGAAGTGGATAGCATGGATCTTCTTTTGTGTCTCAGCTGTCAAGTTCTCAATATTGGTTTATGGCGATTCTCTTGTTTGAGAGGGTTGAGGAAGGTAACCACTCTCTGCTCCCCCTTCTTCATCATTGTCATGGAGCTTTAGCCATGATGATAGATTAGGCAGTTCAGGTGGTTTGTGTTAGGTTTCAAGGTTGGAGGGTAGGAGAAGAGGGCAACATCAGTCTCCACAATAATTGTTTGCAGGTGACACTATTATCTTTCTTGATGTGGAGGAGTAATTGAGGTATCTTTGTGGTATTTTGATGTGCTTTGAGGTGGTTTTAGGGTTGAAGGTTGGTAAAAGTTAATTTGGTAGGAGAAGTGAAAGATATGAGAAATTTGGTTGCGGTCTTGGGATTTAAGAGTGCACACTTCCTACCAGGTATCGTGGGCTCCCTATATGGTTGAAAGATTTGAGAGAACATTGGCAAGTTGGAAAAAATATTATTTTTAATAGTACATTAGTGAGCCTTCTACTCATGGCCCATTTACTATCCCAATGCCAGTGGCAAAGATTTTGGAGAAACTACAAAGGGATTTTTCGTGGAAAGACAGTAGATGAGCATATGCCCCACCTTGTTAATTGGAAGCGAATTTGTGCCAATGAAGGTTAGTGGGCTGGGAATTAGGTGCTTGGCTAACTTCAATCAAGCGTTTTTGGGGAAGTGGATGTGGAGTTCTGAAGATGATTGATTGTTGTTGGCAGAGGCTAGAGGGTCATTAATTCCAAATGCGGTTTGAAGGTAGGGGGTTGGGCTTCTAAAGAGGTTAGGCATTCATTGGGGACAGGCTATGTTACACGGACTCTTCTATTTCCCCCAGAGTACCCGTGTCCACCGGATATGACAAGGGTAAGGGTGTGAGATATGTGTCCGACACTCGTACCCAATTTAGACATTCAGATCCTTTAATTTGTGACAAAACATGAAGAAGAAGAAACTCATATTTGTTAGTAAAGCAATATTTTTAGACTAATAGATGAATTAGATATAAAAATTTCATATTTTTTCTCAATCATATTTAATTTTAATATATTTCTACATAATTTAAAACATCTCATCCGAAAATATTATATAATATGCAATATATATGTGCATATGACATGTCCCCGTACCCATATCCAATTTTGGATACATACCCCAAGTTCTTAAGATTTAAATTTATGAAGGTCTGACGCTTGGATACACACACGCACCCAACACTCATACTCGAGTCCATGTAACATGGGGACAGGAGGTTCCTAGAGATGTATTGTAATTTTTATTCAAGCAATCAAGGAAGCATTTGTGTTTGGCTTCTTGAGGTTTTCCGAAGCAGGAGTGGTGTGGGAGCCACACTTCAGCTGACCCATTCAGGACTGGGAGAAAGTAGCTATGGATGAGTTACTTAAGATGTTGTATAGTGTAGAGATTGATTGTAATGAAATCATACTTATAAAAAAAAGTTTAAGCTCTATAATGACATGAGTTATTGTAAGGCTCATTGTATTCTCTTATCATTATGTGTCCATTTATTAAGGGTCTAATTTATATAAACATTTTTAGTATTCATTTTCAAGTTTTGCAATAATTAAGTACTCAAATTTTAAATCTGAAAATTTTAAGATAAACAAGTTAGTTGAAAAAAATGAAAACAAGAACAAACTTCCATTGACCGTATTCAACGTTTAGCGAGAAGTCTAAAGTCTCTTCCATTGGTAGGTGATTTTGTTTTATCACATGCATTTAATTGTGAAACCACTTTAAAAAGTACGGGTACAGATACGGGTACAGCGATACGGCAAATTCTTAAAAAAGTAAGGTATGGGTACGGCTGGGGTACATCAATTTTTTTTTTTTTTTTTTATATATTTAAATTTATAGCTAAACATCCAACATACAAATCAAAGTTTCAATATCAAAACTAAAAAAAGAACAACTTATCTTAAAAGTTATATAATTCTTTATTTTTCTTTTTTGATTATCTAAAACATGATGCGAAAGAGAGTAAAACCGTGACTAAAGGGTGTTGAAAATAAATTACTTGATATTTTTAAAATTAAAAGAAGAATAATAAAGGCTGCAACAAATTCTACCCAACTGCACACAAAAAAAAAAATCACCTCGCCGTACCGGTGCCGTACCCACGACATACCCAAATATATTTGTCGTACCCGGCATGTATTCGGCGTACCCGGTATGCGTACCGCCGTACCAGTATGCATACCGCCATACCCCGCACCCGGTACTTGTACGGCACCATTTTTGAAGTATCCGTGCTTCATAGGTTGTAGGCTTAACTTGAGGGCAACTGCTTTGTGCAAATAATGCCGAGGGCTAGGTCTGTACCCAATCTACCCCTCCCAGTCCCCCATTAATGGGACTAACTTGAGCATACTTTTA